ATCATCATCCAGATGTGATTAAGTCGCTTGCTTTGAGAAAGGAATTCTTTTTCGGTTGAGCGACGATAAACTGTAGCATCGGATAGATGAAGTTCGGTTATGTTGCGATCGAGCGTTTGCGGCATAACCACGAACTCGCCTCCTTTGTCACTAACAGGGAGACGAATACTGCCGTTGGAAGTCAATTCACGCAGCTCTTTGAAACCCTGCCTTTGCGCATATGTTAAATTAGACTGTTTCATACCACGATGTTTGTTAAGAACATTCAAAATTCCTGCCGACAGTATGCGAAATTTAACATCCACTTCATAACAAGGATCGGTCTCCTTGTAAAAGGATGATGGAAAAGGAATAGGAGGGAGTGCACTTTTACATAGGACAAAGGGAGGTTGCAAGTTGTTATCGTGCCTGGTTTTGGCGCGCAACTGATCTCTAAACCGCTGCAAGGATCCTAGAACTTTGCGATATACCATGGAGTTGACCGTTTGTGTAGGCGCGAAGGATGGTCCTAAGCTGAGTAGGTCTAGTGCGTTGGCAGATACATGAACATTGCCTATGACAGTGACCCTGGTCGTTTCATTAGTCTTATGTGGAGCTAAATGAGTAAAAGACCGTTGGTTCACTGGATGGCGTTCAACACTAGTTGACTTAATTCATGTTCACTAAAGAGTACGTCAAATTTCTTACGGAGTTTGGATTTTGCGTCAGATCGAATAGACTCGCAGATCCGTCTTGACGCGCTCTCAATCCTCTTGCATGTGTGTTCATTCAACAATCTGCGACACGCTTCTTCTTTCGAATCGCACTTCAATCGACTGGAGTACATAATGTGCTGCTTTTGTCTTATCGTAATCCGCAGGATGGACTTGTATAAACCACGTATCTTGGGATGATTTTCGGGCAAACTGCAGGTAACTCCCAGTCTATTCTTCGTAATGAAGTGTGGTAGCACGTCCGACGATTTGTACTGTTTGAGAAACTTGAGTGATTTTGGTGACGATCACTTTCTGGCGAAGCGTCAACGCTTCGCGGACTAAGGAGTACAAATGTGGCGGTATATCTTCAAGTAGATTGTATGTCTCCTTTTTGTAAAACCTTGGCATGTTTTGTACATATTGTTCAGTTGTTTTAAGCCGTAACAGGTTTTTAAAGGAACACTTTATTTACTGCCCGACGTTTCGGCTGAATGCCGTCTTCAGGGGCCTGAAAGCGAGTCAATCACTCTTTAATCAAACGATCTAGACCACCAGACACTTCCTCCAAACCGCATACTTGACTCATCTATTGTGACGCAGAAAAGTTCTCAAGTTGAACAGCTTACCAAGTGTTCCTGGTGAGGAGCGTAAGGGTGTTAGCTCTCTCTCACGGTCGCCCACAGCATTATATTATTCGAACCGCTCATTTTGTCATCATCTGCTGTGGGCGACCGTGAGAGAGAGCTAACACCCTTACGCTCCTCGAACACTTGGTAAGCTGTTCAACTTGAGAACTTTTCTGCGTCACAATAGATGAGTTAAGTATGCGGTTTGGAGGAAGTGTCTGGTGGTCTAGATCGTTTGATTAAAGAATGATTGACTCGCTTTCAGGCCCCTGAAGACGGCATTTAGCCGAAACGTCGGGCAGTAAATAAAGTGTTCCTTTAAAAACCTGTTACGGCTTAAAACAACTGAACAACGCGTTATTCTTTTACCCCGCTTCAAGTTTGAAGCGCTACACAACAAAAAGGGAAGCGGGGTAAACAAAGAACGAAAAAACAGTGAAATGAAAACGAAGAGGGGCTAGGAGCCCAATAATGGCCAACAGATTGATGGGATTTCCTGCTCTTCTGCACTATTTTTGCTCTCCTTCAAGAAAAATGCCTGCGAAAATATCGCAGTGCCTCTGGAAACAGATGGAATAATTTTATGCAAGGATAAAACGAAGAGACATGAATGAGCGGAACAACACACATAATCGGACACACAAAGCAGAACAGTGCTTTTTCCTCAACCCCGCTTTGCACTCGATGGTCCACTCATCAAAAGGAAAAGCGGGGTGAAGGAATAAGGCCCGAAATGAGAGAAACCTAGGAGAAAAACCGTCAGAAACGGTCGAAATACTCTAACTGCGCATGCAGCACATTTCCGGCACAGTTCGAGCACAGTTCGAGCGCGTGCGGGAACTGTGCCGCTTTGTGCGGCTCAGTATGAACCCTGCCTATAAAATGCTATGATTTCCAAGCAAGCAATACAAAAGGGCGAATTTGATTTATTTTGGCATTTTTCAGGGAAATCATAACTTTTCATAGAGACGCTCAATCGCGCAAACTTTGCACTGTTAGAAAGAGCTGGTGAAAAAACCTACAATACCGACTGCTCCGATTTTGTTTCAACTTTCCGATTTTTTATGACCCTACACGAAAAATTCAAATTTTGAGTGACTTTGGTTTTTAGCTTCTTTCTCCTTCATTTGTATACATTACGAACAATTCAGGTACTGCAACGAGCATGAGTTCCTCTCCTAAACAAAATTTTGATCGTACAAATTCGTTAAGAATTCGAAGAGTTATGAATTTTTGAAAATGGTTCGAAAAAACTTGCGGGACGACCTAATATTTTCTATCCCAGAAAATGTCAAAGGAATCAAATTGCAATGAAATCACACAAAACATATCTTCATCGAAGAAGCTAGTTCAAGAATCCGCTAACCTGAACTTCGGTCTTGTTTAGAAGAAGGAGAATTCGAAAACTTCTAAATCCGACTTTTGATTTTGGTGGGGCGTTATCGCTGCTGAACTTTGACTCTGCGACAAACAAATCGCACTTCTGAGAAAAGCAGCTTCGAAAACATAGGGTTCCTTCATACTACGCCGCGTACGCCGCGTACGCCACGTACCCAGGCACTTTTTTGAATGAATCTCAGACATGCTGTAAATTTTCTGAAAGCGGAGAACGAGGCAATTCCAAGGGTGACCATGACGGCGCACAAGATGCTCACCTACAAAAGTTACGGATTTTTTTAATCCTAAAAGTTGTAAACTTCTAGAAATCATTACCACACCCTTCACCAGGCACTTTTTTAAATAGACTCCTGGCAAACTATATATTCTCTGAAAGCGGAGGACAAGATGGTTTCAAAGACAATTTCCTTGCTGACGTTGCTGTTCATCTACACAAATTACAGATTTTTTCTTTCAGAAAATTCGCAAATGCTCAAAAACCTTCTAACTCTTTCCGAAACTAATCTTCTCGCATTCACATCTTTTATGGTAAATTTAAAAACAGGCAGGGTGATTTAAAAAAGGGGAAAAAATGTAAAAAAATATAAGGTGCTAATCAGAAAGATAATTGTGTGCTAATCAAGCAGCACATCGATCCACATTTCAAAAAAGACGACCAGTGATGGTAAGGTTTTGAAAATTATGAACTTCGACTAGGAAAAATGATGAGAGCATACTATGGCTCCCTCCCCCCCCCTGGGTCGACATTCTATAATTTCTCAACCAAGTGAAACACCCTTCACCCGGAGGGGCTGCGATCGCTGTGACCCCCTTCACCCTGGAGTGCTCATTCTCACCTTATCGCACCTATGGTTCGCCGTAAGATCATGAAAAACTCTAGTTCGTCGTAAGGTCATGCTTCCAACGCAAGTGAGAATTCGAGCAAGTATCCCTCAAGTCTCCACTATTTTCAAGTGTTACCCTACAGCGATAAAAAGAAGCCTTCACGTACTGGAGTAGAAGATTAAAAGATAAAGGATATTCTAATAACTCGTCTTGAATCGACACACAAGACCCGCGTGGCAAGAAGTCAAAGAAACCCAACACAAACAAAACATCTTCCAAGTAATCGTAAGAATTGACTTTCATGCAAGTGCTTCTGCAAAGCATTTATTTCGTAGCTGAAGATACTGTGAACATTCCACAACATTTTGATGCGTACGATAGAGGAGGCTTTGCGCTATCACATCGTAGTAATTGCGTTTACTAGAAATTATTCTTTCAAAAACACAAAATAAAAAATTGCGAATATGCGTGTTACTGCTATTTGTCTCTGAATCAAAATTCCAAAGCTATAGGAGCGCAGCAGGTACCTAGTATTGAGCTATATTCTTTATATGAGTCTTCTATATAAGCGTCCATTTGAATTTGATCGATGGAGCAATTTCAATTTTTTTAAATTGTAATTTTTCGCTCTCGTTCAGCAATCGCATCCAAATTTTCAGTATGAGAGTACATTGCCTCCACTTAAAATTCCAAAAATTTTTCCTAAATTTCGCAAAAAAATTCTCCGTAAGATATGTTGTAGTTGAGGGATTGCTTTATTATACTGCACATTAAGTGATGGAAACATTTATCATGAAGGCGGGGAACGAATTTCATTTTGACCACTTGCGTGTCACGACAGACAGACTTGCCCGAATTATGAAGGGCTGCTTTTAAGCCAAAAGAGGCAGTCTCAAAATTTGAAAGCTGCGCTATATTTGTAAAGGTTCGGTTCATGTGTGCAGCAAATTTCCTGTTTCTAGGTACTTTTCTTCTGATTTCATCCGGAAAATTACCACGCTCCCAGACTCTTACCCCACCCTGTATATAAGCTAAACTGCAATCTCTTCAAGGCTCTAAAAATTTAGTGTTCAATTGCTGCAATCCTCCAAAGTTTGCAGAACGTTAGCCTAGAAATTCAAAATAGGTGAAGTGACACAAGACACTGCATGAACGCCGCGTTTATAACCAGCCTGTTGCTCTAATACAAAAACTCAGTGGTCAGCTTGGGCGTGCCGGTTGCTTCAAAACACAGATTTTTGTAAGTCACCTAATGAATTCTTTTGTTTCCACTTTTTGCTTGTAGTCGTATAAACTAGTGGTTTTGAACGAACGAAGTTCTTGGTGAAAAATGGAGCAAGGCAATGCAACTGAAGTCACCGTCTCTTCTATTAAGTCAAGAAATCTGAAATTGGTTTTCAAAGTCTGCTCAATGCACAATGAGATTTTTATTTATCTCGTACACTTTTACATGTGTTCAACGTATGTCTATGATTTCAGTCTCTCCGTCATCATAATAGTCTTCGTCATAATTGTAATAAGCTTCTTGTGGGGCTAAAAAAAAGGAATAGCTCACATACGTTACTTCACCACAAACGCACGAGTAGTAGTAGTAGTAGTAGTAGTAGAAGTCATAGTAGTAGTAGCGGGATCTTGATCACAAAGACCATAGGTAGTATCGCAGTTTACACCCGTTCCTTTGATAATTTTCTTGCAGGGTCCAGGATTTTGACATCCAGCATTATTTTTCGAATCTGCCCAGTAAAGCGGTTCACCTATTTTTGGCCTACAAAAGTTGTTATGTATGTTTCATGTTTTGTTGAGTAATATTCCCAAGCATTTATGTGGTGGCTGGAATCAAATTGCTTACCTGCTACTATACACGCATGCAAGAGCAACCTTGCTTGTTTCCTTACAGAACATTAACCAGCAGCCGAAATTCAGCGTCTTATTGTAGATCATCTATAAATATAAAGAAAGCGAACTTTATTTTTGATTTTGATCAAAAGGAAGACGGCAAAAACCTCACATTAGCAAATGGTTCCATGGAAGTATCAGTGTACACCACGTCTGAGCTCAGAGGTCTTTTTACCGTATTGATCCAGTCTTCCATCGCAGTTTTAAAAAGATCCTTTTGTTCAGTCACATTTGGTTTCTTAACCAGTCTATATCTTTAATGGAAAGTTGTTCCATTATGTCCCTGTTCAACTCGTGTTGACGGCTTACGTAATAAAGTTTTCGGCTCTTCCAACTTTTTCCATGTAGTTCCTGGAATGCTTGCATTTGTTTCCAATGGTGGCCATTGCAAGTCCTTCGTGCAAACAATCATACTTCTGCAAAGAGGTAACACGGTTTTTTTGTATGACCAATGTGTTTTGACTAAAAGCGGAGGAAGAAAGCTGAAGAAAGGAATCTCTCAATCAGCTGAAACATAGTCAGACATGTCCTTTCGCTTCAATTTTTCTGTCTGTTTTACTCACCAACTTGAAAAGAGTTTTTGATCCAGGTATATTTCCAAAAATTTCCGCACTAAGACTACGTTTGGCAAGGCTTGCTCTGAGCTCATTGTGAGAGTTTGTGACAGTTTTTACCACAGCTGCATCGAGATGACAGGGTGCGGGTGCTGAAATCGGCAATACGCTCATTTTTTTCGCATCCCGGTAAGAAATAGGAAAGCCTATCAAAAATCGAAATCTCAGTTTTGATTTCATGAATTCTTACCAGCCTCCCCTATATGAAAAAAGACTGCGCTTATCTGAAAATTGATGTTAATTCGTGGAATTTTTCTAAATGTGGACTATTACCATAATTACAAGCAGCAACAACATCTTGCTATTTTTGCGACCCAATCTTGAATCTGAAGAAAACAACGGTTTTATAAAATTTATCAGTTGCAAAATGATTACTGTTTTTCAGAGGCAGAGTTGGCCGAGAGGTTAGTGCCCTTGACTACGGCGAAGAAGGTCACAGGTTCATTCCGCGGTGGGCCTAACTTCTTTAGCAAAGGTTTTGCCCCACGAATCCAGCGTCAGGCTGCTCAACCTAGAGGAAGCAAGCGACACGCCGGCTGAAGAAGAAACTCCGTCGCATCATATGCTCCTTTATGTCACATTCGAGTAGAAGCTAGGGCGTCCTCGGAGGCGACGCACATTCCCCGACGAATGTGGACAGTAGGCGAGAGTTACCGTCTCAGCAAGATGAGCGGGGACAGCTGAAGAAGCTAGCTTATTACAGAAAAACATCCAAGTTGCAATAATGAAGATGAAGAATGGCAAGGCGGCAGGTCCAGACGACATCCCCAACGATTTTTGGAAGAAGTGTGGACAAGCTGGAGTCTCGTGGCTTACACGACTTCCGAATCAGAAAATAGAAATCGGGAATATGTCAGACAGTGGTACAGAAGCACGACCGTACCGATATGGAAGAACAAGGGCGTCATAGCCGACTGCTCCACGTACAGGCCAATCCGACTCATGTGCCACACGTTGAAGATTTTCGAAAGAATACTGGAGACACGGCTTCGCAGTATCGTACAAATGGCCCCTCACCAATGCGGCTTCGTAAAGGGATGCAGTACAACCGATGCCATCCAAACCGTCAGAATAATGATGGAAGAAGCAGAGAAAGGTAGTGTGAGCTTTATGCGGCATTCCTTGATCTGGAGAAGGCGTTCGATAGAGTACCACATCACATAATTTTGTGGGCACGACGGAAGCACGAGGTGCCAGAACAATACGTCCGTTGGATTAAAATGATATACAAAGGAGCCACCAGTCACGTACGAACAGCAGCAGGACGCTCAGACGACTTTCAGAACGCCGGCGTGCATCAAGGTTCTGTACTGTCGCCGCTTCTCTTCATCACAGTCGTGGACACGATAGTAAGAGATTTCATACACCAACTTCCATGGTCCGTCATGTACGCAGATGATGTGATCCTGATGGCGAGAAGCAGGAGAGAATTAGAGACTGATGCAGATATGGAAAACGCAACTCGAGCTGCATGGCCTGAAGATCAGACCGCGAAGACAAATACATGGAACTGTGATGTCAAGTGCCAGGAACGATCCAGATCGCAGACACAGCAACCAAAAAGACCACGTCGTTCAAGTACTTCGGAAGTCGCATCTCAGCAGATGGCTCGCTTCACGACGAGATAAACGGCCGAATAAGCGCAGCTTGGTTGAAATGGAGAAGCCTAATAAAAATTATGTGCGACAAACGAATGTCCCTGAAACTGAAATCACAAATGTATCGCACAGTAATCCGCCCAACCGGGTTGTACGGAAGCGAGTGTTGGCCAAGCACACGTAACGACGAGAGAGCGCTTGGTGTGACGCAAACACGTATGCTGCGATGGACGATGGGTGTGACCATGCTCGACCACGTCACGAATGATACAATACGAACCACGATGAAAGTAGTTCCGATAGTCAAGAAGCTACAAGAACGGCGTCTTCGATGGTACGTGAGAAGACGAGAAAAGAACACACCACAAGATTAGCAATTTTAGTGGATGTTCTCGGAAGAAGACCAAGAAAAAGACCAAAACTTAGATGGATGGACCGAGTCAAAACAGACCTCAGAGATCTTGAATTAGATGAAAGTCGAGTCGTAGATAAAGAAGAAAGAGACTAACAAGAGCGGCAGAACCCGTATAGGGACAGACGCAAGGATAAAAAAAATTACTGTTTTTCAATGTTTCTTAATCGAATAATAAGAGTTTGGTTTCTGCATGGGATTGAGAATAAGTGTAAAAATATTCTGTGGCTACTAGTTATTATATGAGTCAAATTCGAGAAAGACTAAACGGAAGAAAGCAAATGTGACTTCAAGCAACAGCACAGGGCATATACCTTTAAGTACCATGCAAGAAGTTCTGCTAATGTATATCAAGAGTCCTTCACAGTTTTTTTTTCACTGACATTTGTTTTGTTTCTTTCTTGAAATGCTATCAGCATGCTAATACTCAGCGCTGTTTCTGACGAATAAAAGAGAAGGTTTAACATGATTTACATATGAATTAATTATGCTGTTTGATATTAACATTCTTTACATATAGAAAATTTGTCTTGATGAGGACATGAGACAGAACATGGGGCCTATACACGCCATAACAAAACGAGACATATATGTCATCGTCAAAAAGCATACTTGCCTTCCAATCCTTTGCGAATCAAGTGACTAGTCCGTGTAGTCTGTATATATAGGTTCATCCCCAGAATTGTCCCCATAAAAACCATCAACGTGGCTGTCTGTCGATCATTCCAACATGTCAACTTCGAATAAGCGCAAATTTGCTGAATTAATATGTAACGATCGAAAGGCAACCACGTTGATGGTTCATATGGGAACAAATCTGGAGATGGCACGATAAGCCATGGTTTCCAGTCTTCTCACTCTGAGAAATCAGCGCATACCGGAACCATTGTGAAAATATATTTGATAACTACGAGAGGGGTCAAAAAGTAATTAGACAGCTTTTTTCTACATTTTGAGATTCTTTGTTTCGGTCAACAACAATTAAGCTGCCACTCAAACTTCATTTACATAGGCAACCTTTGCCTATCATTTTGGCAACGCGCTAGCGCTCTTCTCTCACAATCTTTGGCGTGTGCGTTGAAAAAGTCGGACAGGTTCTGAATATCTCGCAGTACTGCGCTGCTTTACCGTGAAGTCATGATGCAAATGGCATGCCATTCGAAGGCTCTTTCGAACGGCATGTCATGCGCTTGAAACTTCTTTTCGTTTTCAGGTTAAAAAAAGCAAAATAAAAATTAATGATTGTTTGCAGCAGTTAAAGACCAAAAAACATGTTTTAGATACAAGGATTTACAAAATAAGATAGTACCACCATTGTACACTTTTGTGCACTACTATTTCTATTTCTATCAGCCTATATGTTCCGAAGATAAATGAAAATCGGGGTAAACCGCATATGGAAGGTTGAAGCGTAGAGTTCTATAGATACTAGCTGAAATTATGCGTTCACTTGCAAAGCAATAAATTGCGCATATCTCGTTCCGTGTCTAATCACTCCAAGCGCTGAAACCAGCCATCGCGGTTGATGATGTAACCTCACCAGGGTCAAGCTTGCGATGCGACTGTCGCAACGGGGGGTCGTAAAGAGGGTACCTAAGGTGGGGGGGGGGGTCGTAAGAAAAGGTAGTTAGGCTAAAATACCCCCTAAGCTTGGAAGGGAATCAAAAAGCAGATAATTAGTTATGTTCTTTACAATAAATCTATAAAAAAGTGGAAATCAGAATTGAAAGATAAAAAAATCTGTAGAAATTCTCAAAAAAACTATTTACAAGAGCTCAAAACACTTTTGAAGGATGTATGCTTTGACAGAAATGCCAAATGTACCGATTGCCCTAGATATCTTGCTTTTGAAGCCTTCCTGAAGTCTCACACACTCGACAAAAGCGAATATCTTTACCAGCTCTGACCATCATGAATTTCCGAATCTTTTTGTAATGTTTTTCACGGGCCCATAGAATCTATCTGTGCTTTGAAGATGCTCTGCTACATCAGTGCGAAATTTGGTGTTATTCTGTCAACTGTGGATTTTCTTATAATTTTATGTATGGTAGCAAAAAATAAGAAAGGGGGCGTATCTGCGCCTCATTCAAATTTCTCCGGAGCTATTGGAGGTTCTTAGCTGCAATTTTGCTGTAATACGATTCCATCCCTCTCCTTTTTATCGTATGAATTTCAGGCTGTTTCATAACTTCTCCGGTGAGATATAAAATTTTAAGCTTAAAAATCCCACTTTTTGCCTTTTAAATTCGCATCTAAATTTTTTCGAGCTTACTGCTCCTCAATGGCTGAAACTTCTTCCATGATAGTATGGGCACTATACCGCAAAGCCTGTCATTGCAGCCTGTCAGTCTTTCCCTGCCTCTAGTTACGAATTTTCAAAATACCGTGCTCATGCACGTTTTTGACATCGTTCTAGATGGCGCTAAAACAGTTTTCTTCTCACAAAAATCTGTGCAAATAATGGAAAGTAAGCCTTTTAGTCGAAAACATACTTTCGCTTCAAAGATGTCGTTTTTTTCCCTTCAAAAAAATGGTGTCGCGTACGGGACCGAATTTGCTGGCCAGAAGTATGCATGAAAATTCAAAAAAAACTTGCAAAAACCCAAACTTTATTGAAGGTGTGTATGCGTGCCAGAGATGTTGCAAGTACCTCTTACACAGAAATTATGCTTCCGAAGCCCTACTGAAGTCTCACACACTCGACAAAACCCCATATCTTTACTAACAACCGCCAATAATTTGTAAATCTTGAAGTAAAGCTTAATTATCATTCAGATCGGAATCGATGTTCTGCTTTGTCAGATAAGTCAAAATATAAATAGTAATATAATATATATATTACTATTTGTGTTTTCCCAACTACAATAAACGTAGCCAAATCTTCGTGGAATTTTACTACTTAATCCAATCTATGCAGAATTATTTATAAAGTTTTTGAATGGCGAAACATTACTTGCATTATTTCCCAATTTGTAAATAGTTATCTATTTCTGATCTATAATCTTGATTGAGGTCCATTAGCAGGCATCTTTTGAGATTGATATTCATTTATGCAGGTTACCGCAATTTAAGGTGGGGGGGGGTAGGTGAGGAGGTGGTCGTAC